CGGTGGGAAGGTAACAGCGTTCCGTGTGCCTTGGTGTTTAGTCATGCTGGCCACATGACCACGGAAACGTCTTCGGACAGCGCTGGCTCTTCGGCTTTGAAACGGAGATGAGCACCGCAACCCTAGAGTCGGACTCGACTGGCTTTCGAGCAAGGGAACCTTTACCTTTACTAGAACAGGTGTCAAGAGTGAAGAAGGGTCACAAATCCTTACAGGGATTCGGCCTGGAGATCTGTGGAGGATTTTGTGGCCGCCACGAGTGTTCCCTCTAAGCTGAGTTACCGTGAGCCAGCTCACCGTTTCTTAGCCTCCGGCTCACCCATTTTTTGTCCTCGCTCAGGAAGGAGGGCTCCAGAGCGAGCTACCTGATGCAGCAGCCCAATGGCTCGCTCACCACTTTAATGCCAGGAGCTCACAAAGTACAATTCTTGCTCACAAGACCCCACAGCTTAGAGGGGGCATTGCCCCCCCACACACTTCGGGACGAAACTCCCCGGGTGCTCTCGGCTTGCGAGCGGAAGGCGGGGGCCGTCTGGAAAGCTGCCCTGGGCGCGACGAATCCGGATTTCTCCCCTCTCGGCGGAGCGAGCGACCGGCGGGCAGCGCTCTCCCCTTCTCGCCGCCGCGTTCGCTCCCCGCGCCCCCTTTCCCGAGCCCCGAACCTTCTTGTGTTTACGCAGAGATATATCAAAGCCTCGCCACCGCCTTTTTATCTTTTTTTTTTTGAATGGCTCCCTCTGGGCTTGGCGGGGGGGGAGGAGGAGAGCGGGGGAGGAGATGGCGAGCTCTCTCTCTCTCTCTCTCTCTCTCTCTCAAATGACCTAAGTGCATTTCTACAGCTGTGCCTGTTTGCGAAAGGATGTGTGCGCGCGCGTGTGACCTGCAATCCGATCCAAATGTTTCCACGTTAATCCGCCTCCTTGGACAGCGGGAGAGGCTGGGCCCCCCCCCCCCCCAACTCCAGCCGAGAATGGCCCCGAATCCAAGCGTCTCCTCGGTTCGATTGCGAAACGCTCCCTGCCTTCGGAGCGCGCAGCTTTCCGCGCGCTTTCTTTCTTTCTTTGGTCGCGGGGGTGGGGCACGGTCAGGGCCGGCTCACTCACTAGGCGAACTAGGCGATCGCCTAGAGCGAGGGCCCTTAGGGGCACCAAACTGCACCCGGCCCCTACTCTGGGAGTTTCTTGATTATTTGTGTTTTTCATTCTTCCTAAAATGCATTTATTTTTGAAAATTGGTGGGCGCAGGGGGGGGCAGAAAGGATCCTCGCCTAGGGTGCAAAATAAGCTGGAGCCGGCCCTGGGCACGGTGGGAGGGCTTCCGGAGTCCTGGACCTCCTGATGGCACCGGGGTTTTGGCCGACGTGTGACCCAGAGGGGTGGACTGCTGGATGGGCCATTGGCCTGACCCAAGATGGCTTCTCTGATGTTGGGATTGGAAAAACACATGGAGCAGAGGTCCTTAGTGAGTGGCTCTTAGCCACAAGGTGTAGATGGAACACTCTGTCTGGGGCAGTGATGCTCTGTCTTCTGGGTCCTCTGGGGGCCACAGAGGGAGGGCTTCTGGAGTCCTGGCCCCGCCGGTGGACCTCCTGACGGCCCCTGGGTTTTGGCCGATTTGTGACCCAGAGGGGTGGACTGCTGGATGGGTCATTGGCCTGACCCAAGATGGCTTCTCTGCTGTTGGGATTGGAAAAACATGGAGCAGAGATCCCTGAGTGGCTCTTACAGGGACACTGTCTGGGGCAGTGATGCTCTGTCTTCTTCTTGGTGCTTGGGGGGCCACAGCAGGAGGGCTTCTGGAGTTCTGGCCCCTCTGGTGGACCTCCTGAGGGCCCCTGGTTTTTGGCCACTGTGTGGCATGAAGTGTTCAGCTGGATGGGGCCATTGGCCTGATCCAACATGGCTTCTCTGATGTTCTTACGATCTGAATTGGTGCTTGGGTTGGAGGGTTTCTGAAGTTTTGGCCGGGCTGATGGACCACCCGAGGGCAGTTGGGTTTTGGCCAATGCTCCCTCTAAGCCGTGTATTGTGAGCAAAAATTCTACTTTGTGAGCTCCTGGCATTAAAGTTGTGAGCGGGTGATTTGGGTACTGCATCAGTGAGTTTGCTCTGGAGCCCTCCTTCCTGAGTGAAGGCAAAAATGTGTGAGCCGGAGGCTACAAAACTGTGAGGTAGCTTGCACTAACTCAGCTTAGAGGGGACAGCCCCTGTGCAACACAGAGTGTTAGACTGGGCAGGCCGTTGGCCTGAGACTCTTATGTTTATTTGACTCATGCAAAGAATACGACATAATGACACCGGCAGCCTTAGGTATTGGAGGAGGGGCTTTTGGTGCAATCTTCTCTCCTCTAGAGGAGACCCTTCGACTGCCAAAGTGGCCTTTTGAATTGCTTTTTGGGCCATGGGGGGGGGACAGGTTGTAAGATCACCTCTGCTCAGAGGGGGACCGGGTGCCGGAAAGGAAGCGGGGGGCCGTGTGCCTCTGATGCCAAAACAAAATTGTAAATGGGGGGGGGGGGGGAAACCGGGGGGGGGGGAAGCAAATCTTTGTAGCCCGGGCTGAGGAGGACAAGAAAAGCCAGACTGGGGGGGGATCTGCTCCTGCAAAGATCCAGAGATGGGAAAATATTTCCACTGCCCTATAGCTCCTGAGCACGTCAAGAGTTTCCACCCTTGGCCACTGTGCCATTTAAGAGCAGGGCTTCCAAGGCACTGGGAAAGGGCATCCAAGCAGGTCCGAGCCAGTGTTCCCTCTAAGCGGAGTTAGTGCGAGCTAGCTCACAGAATTTTAGCCTCCAGCGCACAGATTTTTGTCTTCGCTCAGGAAGGAGGGCTCCAGAGGAAACTTGTTTATGCAGTAGCCAAATCGCTGTCTCACAACTTTAATGCCAGCAGCTCACAAAGTAGAAATCTTGCTCACAAGACTCCACAGCTTAGAGGGAACACTCTCTCTTTCATTCCACCTCTCCCTCCCCCCCCCAAAAAAAGTCTCCTTGTCTGGACAGTCTCATCGGAGAGGCAAACTCCACAGGCCAGTGGAGATCTTTTCCCTCGGGGGAGAAGCGTTGAGGGGGGGGGTAAGGGGTTCCGTTCCCGTTCGAACAGTTGACCTCTATTGTAGCGGCCGCAAACTCCTTCTGGCGGCGCTCTTCGCGGTTGCAAAGCGGGCAGAGTTCGGGACTGGCTCCCCCAAGTCCAGCACGCGGTCCCGGGCTGCCGGCCTGTGGATCCTCCCCGGGAAGGAACTCCGAGCGAACGCCCTGAACCCGCCCCTCTCCTCCCTCCTTCTCTCCCGCGGAAGGTAGCTGAGGACAGCCAAGCTCCGTGCGCCCCGACGGGAGAAGGAAACCCAGTCGAGCTTAAGGAGGAGGAGGGGGGGGACTTCCCTAACGCGACCCGTAGGATCGGGCTACAGGCCTCCGCGCGCTTATTTGGAAATTAGTTGCGCGCGGGAGGCTGCACAGCAAAGGCTTTTCCAGGGGTGGGGGGAATTCAGGCGAAGTTGCAAAAGTCTGGAGGGGGGGAGATTCCAGGGGAACGTGGAAAAATGTGGGGAGCGGATGCAGATGAAGTTGCAAAATTCCGGGGGGGGGGAGATGCAGGTGAAGCGGCAACATTTTGGGGGTTGGGGGCCGGTGTCCCCTCTAAGCTGAGTGAGTGTGAGCTAGCTCCCAGCTCTGTAGCCCCCGACTCACAGATGTTTGCCCTCGCTCGGGAAGGAGGGCTCCAGAGCGAACTCATTGATGCGGCAGCCCAATCGCTCGCTCACCGCTTCGATGCCAAGTAAGCTCACTAGAAGAGTAGACTTTTGGCTCACGAGGCTCCACAGCTTAGAGGGAGCACTGGTGGGGGCGGGATGCAAGTGAAGCTGCAGGATTCGGGGGGGTGGAGCGGTGTCGGGATGGTTGGGGGGTGGGGTGGAAGGGATGCAGGCGAAGTTGCACAAATTCTGGGTCGCCGCAGGTAGAAGTTGCACAAATTCTGGGTCGCCGCAGGTGGAAGTTGCAAAAATTCTGGGTCGCCGCAGGTGGAAGTTGCAAAATTGGGGGGGCGGCGGCTGCATAAGTTGCAAAATTGGGGGGGCGGCGGCTGCATGCCGGTGAAGTTGCAAGGGTCTTCGCCGGAGCAGGTGGATCGCGCCCCGTCCGGGCCACCCTCCCCGTGACCCCCCCCCACGCCAGCCCGCCTTTCTGCCTCCCCCCCTCTTCCCCCGCGTGTTGTTGTGTCTGGATTTGCAAAGTTGTGTCGTCTCGCCTGTTCTGTTTTGTTGCGTTCCCCGCGACCTCCCGCCGCGCCCCTCCTCGGCGCCCCGCTAACGGCTCCCTTCTCTCCTCCCTCCCGCAGAAGACCTGGAGGCGCTCCCGGGCCCGCCGGGCCCCGCTCCCCGACGGCTCCGCTACTTCTTCAACCTCAGCAGCGTGCCGGCCGACGAGGCCATCTCCTCGGCGGAGCTGCGCCTCTTCCGCCAGCGGCTGCCCGACGACGCCGAGGCGGCGGCGGAGGAGGCGTCGGCGCCGGAGCAGGGCTTGCACCGGATCAACGTCTACGAGGTGATGAAGCCCGTCGGGGAGGGCGCGGAGGGGGGCGGCGACCTGGCCACCCGCCTGCTGGACACTCGCCTGGTGCACCCCAACGTCAGCCGCTGGGAGAGCTTCGACGTCAGCCCGGCGGTGGTGCGATGGACGGCGGGCGGGGAGCCCAACCACGGGCTGGCCGTCGAGGTGGTCCCGCTGCACCCCCCGCGGCAGACTGGCCCCGCCGCCGCCGCCCGGCACGTCCGGATCAGCCGCTCCCTACCCCGGGGGGGCCGCCTGGACGCCGCCGCCTGGGCGCGCCTCCGCCCGCTCCTGGTCACCTTCAGCCACGACGGCCGCGGCCAGGCGCCCCTCACCCGCCGCCGCCCCAAGCGCAGCCCCAAGCACGCCCACGGCGGCGGCGGCGCCCACCCGCGGCCGCCCCAAGCGCAGCCCCAAGCACGACCACGGCGGCGGCGGCGCCCACCCGCGGCCGCGCAAGAGCAAGAAGAACTGCCGCCGCCACGCCCTCTACGTGGACTTCAGCGACGTGGGCTGGAACGACTGGATCGTGGCCCCGCCGGGCTACCAGGCCTACTACTGCCAGGGCGACTGCCCCTTCCCCTTGGCCGACCACCTCAACTCCACCAACCACGCCATCGTCCAGACCCTGGTCAACTCCGTCAACGCCACCATCCCCAAGGCCTGCTGCGTCCCCACCGAGCTCAGCGCCATCTCCATGCTCTACCTGGACGAGTACGACAAGGTGGTCCTCAAGAACTACCAGGAGATGGTGGTGGAAGGCTGCGGGTGCCGCTGAGCTGAGCCCTGCTGGGGGAGGCGGAGAACTGTCGCCCCGTCCAACAAGAACTCTCCAAGCGCGCCGGGAAGGGCGCAGTGGGTGGGAACCCCGCGGTGGGCAGGGAGAGGGGAACCAGCGGAGCCCCCCCCCCCAAAAAAACGGGCCGGTTTTCTCCTTGCAAAAGACATGAGGGTGGTGATCATGACGAACTGTCTCTCTCTCTTTCACACACACACGCTCTGCCAGCAGAAGGAATAATTATTATTAAAAAGAGAGGGGGGGGAAAGGAACCAGTCCCTTAATCCGTTCACCTTGACCTTATTTATGACTTAAATGTGCAAATGTTGTGACAATAAGGATCATATATTTTGACAAAAAGTATATTTATAACGACCGTATTAAAAGATGGGGGGAAAAAATGAAATAAAGCGCGTTCGTTGTTTTAAAGGTAAAGGGGATATATTTATTTGATTTAAAAAACGAACCAAAGGTCCTTTTCTTCTTGGACAGCTAGCTCTCTCTCTCTCTCCCACCCCCTCTTCCCCTGAGAGTTTCATAGACCACCCTTCTTCCCCCTCCTATAAAACTGACCTTTCCTTAGAGCACACCTCTTGTGCGCACCCAAATTTTAGCAATTTTATTTAAAACCTGAGTCCCACCATGTTAACCCTTGCTTTGACAGAGCTGCGGTAGCTCAAGTGGTTAAGACGCTGAACTGCAGGCAGTGGAAGGTCAGTAGTTCAGTTCGAGACCCGAGTGTGCCGCAGGACGGAGTGAGCTCCCGTCTCTGATACCAGCTCCTGCCAACCTAGCAGTTCAAAAGCAAGAAATTGCAAGTAGATAAATAGGGACCACTTTGGTGGGAAGGGAACAGCATTATGTGTGCCTCGGTGTTTAGTCACGCCGGCCACATGACCACGGAAACGTCTTTGGACAGCGCTGGCTCTTCGGCCTTGAAACAGAGATGAGCACCGCAACCCTAGAGTCGGATTCGACTGGCTTTCGAGCAAGGGAACCTTCACCTGTGATCTGTCACAGTCCCACTTCTGTGACCTAAGCATTTGTCTGTGTATGTGCCAGTGGGGGTGGGGTGGGGAGAGCCTTCCCATTGATTTGATTTTCTGCTTTGAAATGACCTTGTGCTCACACACAGGCCTCTTCTTGCTCCCAGTTTGGTGCGTGAGCCAGTTTGGTGTAGTGGTTAAGAGTGTGGACGCTAATCTGGGAGAACCGGGTTTGATTCCCCACTCCTCCACTTGCAGCTGCTGGATGACCTTGGGCAAGCCATAGTTCTGTCAGACCTGTTCTCTTAGGAGCAGTTTCTGTCAAGAGCTCTCTCAACCCCGCTTACCTCACAGGGTGTCTGTTGTGGGGAGGGGAAGGGAAAGGAGTTTGTGAGCCGCTCTGAGACACCTTTGGGTAGTAAAGAGCGGGGTATCAATCCAATCTCCTCCTCCTCCTCCTCCTCCTCCTCCTCTTCTTCCTTGCTAAATGTTTTATTTCATTCTTCTATCCACGAGTCAAATCAGGGTGTCTGTTGTGGGAAGGGGAAGGGAAAGGAGTTTGCAAGCCGCTCTGACTCCTTTGGGTAGTGAAGGGTGTGGTATAAATCCAATTTCCTCCTCCTCCTCCTCCTCCTCCTCCTCCTCTTCTTCTTCCTCCTACTCCACATGGTAACAAGCTTGGATGTTTATTGTTTGGGGGGGTGTTGGTGGGAGGGGAGATGTATGCATGCCTGCCTTTTCCTTCCCAAGCACTCCCAAGTGCTAAATTGCCTCAGTGGCAGAGCCTCTGCTTGGCATGTAGAAGGTCCCAGGTTCTACGGCCAGCATCTCCACTCAAAAGGACCAGGCCAGGAGGTGATGCGAAAGACCTCTGCCTGAGACCCTGGAGAGCCACTGCCCATCTGAGTAGACAAGACTGACTTTGATGGACCGAGGGTTTGATTCGGTACAAGGCAGCTTTACGTGTGCTCAAATGCATTTAAGTGCAATTGATTTCGGTGGAGATTATTTTCACATGGCATGGGTGCTCAGACTCTGGAAACTGGTCAACTGGCAACCCGGTCGACTCCGAGTCTACTGGAAGAATATACTTTTCCAGTCCACGTTGAACGCACTTTAGTGATTGCCTGCAAGTGGGTTTTGCTATTTCACACAGGAAAATCCGGTTGCAGAGTGCCTTGGGAGTGCATTATTCAGTACGTGTGAAAGCACTCTAAGACCCACAAACGGGCTCAATCCCATCAGTTCCAGTGGAACTTTCTCCAGAGTAAGTGGCCCGGTGTGCGGGGTGTGTTTATGTCACAGCCTCTCTTTGTTCCATGAAGCAATTCTTGTCTGTCTGATCCATTTGATTATCCCCTGTCTTTCCCCCCAGTGGTGACCAGTGTTTCCTCTAAGCTGAGTTAGTGTGAGCTAGCTCAGTTTTTTTTAGCCTCCAGCTCACACATGTTTGTCTTCGCTCAAAAAGGATGGCTCCACGCAATGTTCCCTCTAAGCTGTGGAGTCTTGTGAGCAAAAATTCTACTTTTCGAGTGACTGGCATGAAAGTCGTGAGTGAGCGATTTGGCTGCTGCATGAATTAGTTTGCTCTGGAGCCCTCCTTCCTGAGCTAAGATGAAAATGTGTGAGCTGGAGGCTAAAAAAACAGTGAGCTGGTTCACACTAAGACCGATTTCACACAAGAGCTGGGCTGTAGTTGCGCCTCCATTTGCCCCGCTTCTATTGGTCAATTTCTCACTCGAGGCCGCGTGGCTGCATTTTGACCTGCGGCTTCGCCCGATTTCCCCCGTGGTTTTGTGATCCTCAAAAAACAGGATCACGAAACTGCGGGGGAAATCGGGCGAAGCCATGGGTCAAAATGCGGCTGCGCTGCTTGTGTGAAATCGGTCTAACTCAGCTTGGAGGGAAGTGTTCCAGAGCAAACTAATTTAGGCAGTAGCCAAATTAATTTAGGCAGTAGCCAAATCACCTGCTCTGCTCACAACTTTAATGCCAGTCGCTCACGAAGTAGGATTTTTGCTCACAAGGCTCCAGAGCTTAGAGGGAGCATTGGTGGTGACCCAAAGCTGCTTACCCTGTTCTCCTTTCCTTTGCTTTACCCAGTCAAGTTACAAGACCCCCAGTGGGTTCAGTGTTGCCTGTCAAGAATGGCAAAAACGCCTGTTCTGGAACAGGTTGGCCCGATGGATTAAAACCTCCAGCCCGGGGATTTCATTTGAGCCAGCCTTGGGACCGACTGGAAGCTCAGCCAGTAGGAATGGCACCCAAGCATGTGCAGAGTTCAGTTTTGTTACCCTCTGGATAACTAGCTTCGCATTCTCCGTCCCCCGTACGTCTGAGGTTTGCGGCCTAAGAGGTTTGCCCTTGCATGGCTTTTCCCTTAAGGACAGTCCTCCGGGGCGTACTGTGGGTGGGTGAATTCCTGCAGGAGTTGTGCGTGTGTGGGTGAAGCGGCACTGAGTTGCAGCTGACACGACAACCCCATGGGGCGTTCAAGTCAAGAGACAGTTCAGAGCGGTGTTGCCTCTAAGCAGAGTTAGCGTGAGCTAGCCCGCAGTTTTTTTAGCCTCCAGCTCACAGATTTGTGTGTCTCCGCTCAGGAAGGAGGGCTCCAGAGCAAACTAATGGATGCAGTCGCCAAATCGCCCGCTCACAACTGAAAACCAGTTTGGTGTAGTGGTTAAGTGTACGGACTCTAATCTGGGAGAACCGGGTTTGATTCAACACTCCTCCTCCACTTGCAGCTGCTGATGTGACCTTGGGTCAGTCACAAGCTCTGGCACAGCTGTTCCTGAAAGAGCAGTTTGTGTCGGAGTTCTCTCAGCCCCACCCACCTCCCAGGGTGTCTGTTGTGGGGAGGGGAAGGGAAAGGAGTTTGTAAGCCCCTCTGAGACTCCAAGTGAAGGGTGGGGTATAAATCCAATCTTCTTCTTCTTCTTCTTCTTCTTCTTCTTCTTCTTCTTCTTCTTCTTCTTCTTCTTCTTCTTCTTCTTCTTCTTCTTCTTCTTCTTCTTCTTCTTCCTCCTCCTCCCCCCCCCACCTGGAAGTCATTCTCTCTCCCCCTCTAGAAACCTGCCACTGCCCATTTCTTTTTCTCACCTTTCCGTCGGTCGGTTTAAGGTGGGAAGAAAACAGATCAGCCAATATCATAATGCCCCTATATAAATCAATGGTGAGACCTCATTTGGAATACTGTGTGCAGTTTTGGTCACCACACCTTAAAAAGGATATTATAGCTTTGGGAAAAGGGCAGAAAAGGGCAACTCGAATGATAAAAGGGTTGGAACACTTTCCCTATGAGGAAAGGTTAAGGCACTTAGGGCTCTTTAGCTTGGAGAAACGACGACTGAGGGGGTGACATGATTGAGGTTTATAAGATTATGCATGGGAAAGAGCAGGTAGAGAAAGATGTCCTTTTCTCCCTTTCTCACAATACAAGAACTCATGGGCACTTCATGAAACTGCTGAGCGGTCGGGTTAGAACAGATAAAAGGAAGTCCTTCTTCACCCAAAGAGTGATTAACACTTGGAATTCACTGCCACAGGAGATGGTGGCGGCTACAAGCATGGACGGCTTCAAAAGGGAATTAGATAAGCATATGGAGCAGAGGTCCATCAGTGGCTATTAGCCACAAGGTATAAATAGGGGCTCTGGGGCAAGTGATGCTCTGTCTTCTTGGTGCTTCAGGGGGGTCAACAGTGGGAGGGGGCTCCTAGTGTCCTGGCCCCACTGGTGGACCTCCTGATGGCACCTGGTATTTCTGGCCGCTGTGTGACACAGAGTGTTGGACTAGATGGGCCTTTGGCCTGATCCAACATTGGCGTCTCTTGTGTTCTTATGTTAAAACACTCTGTGCATGCTCAGAAACATGGCAGGTGACGTCAGGGCTCTGCAGCGGGTCAGTTCCGGCGGAACATTCCTCCTGGGAAAACGAGGCGAGCCCTGCAGATCCGGCCGGAGCACTCCAACTTGGCCGGTTGACTTGCAATCCTGTTTGCAGAGTTTTCATAAAGGGGAGGGGGTGGGGAGAGAGAGAGAGAGAAGTTGCATCTGAAAAGAAGTTCAGAAATAAGCCTGAGGAAGGATAAGGTTGATACCCTGGAGGGTTCCCCCCCCCCCTCTTGTCTCATGTTTTCATTCGAACCCCCTTTTGTGTATAGCCCTCAGGTCCAAACCTATTAACATTTTGGAAGGGGGGGGAGGGGTGATGAGAAAGCCGCTTTTTCTGGCTTCAAAGGTCGCGAAAGCCTTTGAAGATCATATCTGGCAATTGTAATGCCCAAAGAAGCCAGTGGTGGTGGTGGTTGGGGTTGTTTTTTTGAAAGACTTAAAATATGGATTTAGATCAAGATGGGCAGCCCTGTTAGTCTGTCTGCTTGTAGCAGCAGAAAAGAGTAAGCG